ATCATGGGGCAACCCGCTCTACCCGCTCTGCTGACCTATACAGCTCTTAGCAACCAGGCTCCAAGCTATCTGAGCTTTTATCCCCACACACACCACTTCACAGAACCTCCGATCCACATCTGAAAACCTCCCGGCTGTTCCTCGAACCAGACTAAAACCCCAAGGGGACAGGGCCTTTCAGTCTATTGCCCCCAGACTTTGGAACAGTCTACCTTCAAAACTCCGTCTCTCCAAAACTGTAGAGGTCTTCAAAAACATTAAAAACTCACCTTTTCATCCAGGCGTTCCCCCGCTAAATATTCTGAAGCATGGCTTTGTCTTTGTTCATACCCGGACTTTGTTTTTAACTCCTGATTTTGTTTACTGTTTTGTCACTGCTATTGTTTTTATGATCTGTTTTTATCGGTTTGAGGTATTTGTCCTGATTTTACTCATGTTGTGCAGCTCTTTGTGATTCATATCTGTGAAAGGTGCTTTATAAATAAAGTTTTACTTACTTATTTACCACCTGAGCTACTGCTGCCCCATAACAACAAATTAGCTGATATTTGGTTTTTTGTTTCCCCACTCCGGCTCTCGTATTTATTCATTATTTTAGGATTACAGCACAAAACAGTTACTTAGTAAAGGTAAAAAAGTAATTTGCAGGTTGTATTGTCACAACTGTCCCCTCTTTGCCCTCAGGAGTCAGGCAGTGTTAACGCGGCGTTCGGACGTTTTGAATGATGCGTTCAGCCCTCTAATCTGGAGAGCAGAGAGCCGTTGCTATCACAGGCAGTCTGACTGACAGGCAGGCAGGCGGCGAGTCCCAGCTGTGATGGCTGGTGTCTGCTCAGTGGCAGCCTCATGATGAATTGCCTCTCTTGAATGATGGTGCTGTTACTCAGTGATGTTGTTAAGGGATTGTTCTGCCAGCAGCTCACCGGCAACTTCAAAATAAAAATGAAAAGTAAACAAGCGGAGAAATGAGTCGCTGTGCAACTTGTCTCCCAATTCTATTTATTTTTCATTATTCTTGCCACTTCTCACACGTCCCTTTTGCAGAAATAGGGTGCTAGGAGTGTACCCTGGAGGAAATTACCTTTGAGGCTTACAAAAATGACCAAACTTTAATGTTACCCAACGGCGATGTGTTTACATTCTAACATGTTTAAAATTTAAATAGATTCAACAATAAAAACAAATAATCACAAACCCGTCTAAATTTTTGCATCTTTCCAACAGAAAAACATTTGATTTTAATTATAAAAAACATTTGATTTTAATTATACATGTACACATTGTAGAGAAATAGAGTGATGTAACGATCTAGAGTTGTATTTTAATATACTGTAAGTAGATCTAGTTTTTATAATCAGAAGAATAGGTTGTTTTTATCATCAGGGAGTTCATTTAACACTCTGTATTGACCTTGAGACAAGAAAAGAGAGAGTGGGGATCGTTTAAGAATTTTATTATAAATTCTACAATCTATCAGGACTAACTCTGTGTTGTTTGGAAATGAATGTGATGTTCGATGTGTGTGTGTGTGTGTGTGTGTGTGGTTGGTTCAGACTCCTTAGGCTGACGTCATTGAATCTGGTAGTCTGATTGTTATGACTAGATATCACGAGGCTTATAAAGTGATGACATGAGCTGCTATTTTGCCGTGTACGTACCCAGTGGGGGGGGGGGGGCCTCCCAGGTAGATCAGGAAATGCCAGGTCTGAAGACCTCGGATAAGCGCTGGAGCTGGTCGAAACAGCGATCGCAGCGTTTCAAAGCCCGTCTGAAGGGTCGACCCCGGTACCATCGGCAGCGTCAGCAGGTGCTCTTATTTTGAAAGGATGTCGTCTGGTTGTTAAACGACGAAAATGTCCAACTTCACAGTTTTTAGTTTAAAGAAGAAAACACATCTGGCCAGGCTGTGCTTCTCTTTGGGATGACGGTGAATAGAACTGAAGTCAAAATGGAACTGAGCTTAAAATGGCGTTGCCTTGTTTTATATCTCTGAATTGTTGATAAGTTTCAGTAAACGGGATAGGACACTTTAAGTCAACAAGCCAGATTCTCTTGCGGCAGCCGAAAGCTCTGATTGGTTGGAACAATGTGTCATGCGTTTCTATGGAGATGAGGGTCAGTCTGTCTGTGCAGTAGTCCTGTTTTCATTAAACACATAAATCATGACATCTTTATTCCACAGATCATTCACTTGATTATTATTGATCAACATCTGTTTCAAATAGCTTTAATCACAAATTAAGTACTTTGATTATTGAAAAGCGTTCTTCTTCTCCTTCTGGCTCTTCTCCTGGAATGTAAACAGTCCGAGGAACACCCGACCTCGGCGTTTCCTACACGGGTGTTACTGTGTACAGGGGCAGCTGTGTGGAGCTGAAAATAATGAACTTTATAACGTTACAACATTAACAAAATATTCAGTATTTTGATCCTCATATTTAAAATGCATATTTTCAGAAAGGGCACTTGAGCCATTTCTCTGTCTTGTCAAAATTCACACACAGCAATGGGTTGTGGGTAATCAGAATGAGAATCAGAATCGGAATGATTTTTATTGCCAGCGCTCAGATCAGATCAGAGCATAGGAACTTGACTCCATAGTACAACCTGACCAAGGTTACACACACACACATATAGACAGGGCAGATACAGGCAGACCACGGGAGCAGCCATGACGGCGCTCCTTAGTAGATGAATGAGGGAATACATGAGGAAAGTTCAGGGAGGGAGAAAAAAGGCATTAACAGGGTTACACCAGCAGGGTGTAGCACTCTAATGCAAAAAAACACCCATCGTGTAAGCACGAACGTCACAGTTCACAACATGAGACCCGGTAGGTAGGGGGGAGGGGCTGGGATCCTGGTTTCCTCAGCGGGGGCTGCCTGTGTGGCGCTCGACCAGCTGGCTCCGCAGGTGGGAGGGAGGTCATGGGGAAGCACAGAGAGCAGTGAGTCCTTAGCTTGATGTCCTCGGTGGAGACCTCAATCTGAAGGCGGGGGGGTGGGTGGATAGAGATTCACAGCATTTGTCTGCATTCCTTCCATCGTGGGGGTTTTTGCATGCAACTCCAAGGCTGCTTATGGCATCAAATTCGATAACAGAACTTTGTTTGGGTCAGGCAGAGATAATTTTTCCTCTCTGCCTTAAAGTCTGTATTGATCATTCAAGTCCTCCAGTGAAGCCAATTAGGTGATTAAACATCTCCACACCGTCCGGTGACCCTTTCCGAGATGTTATCAATCCTGCGCGCTAACACCGGTAACGCAGCTAAGACATTGTCCAGCTTGCGATTCACCTCGAGCAACGTCCCAGTCTGTGAGGTATCCACACGGGCGGTGCCGTCCATGGATGCGGGTCGCCCTCCAATCGCTCCCGTCATCCCAGTTTTACGGAAAGCCAGATATCCTCCCACTCCAATCAGAAGAAATCCAACGATCATCAGGCCAAATATCCACATATCTTCGACGTCCTCAATGGACAGCTGAGAGAGACAGATGACATTCCACTTTTTCCAGGAATCGAACATATATCCCGCTGCATGTGTCCCTTGAGGGCAAGCGCGAGCCCCCTCCTCCGTTCTCATCGTAGACAAAATCTTATCAATCACGTTGAATGACCAATTAATTAAATCCATGCTGAAAAATAGTGATTGCAGAGGAAATGCAGAGAAGCGCTCTGTAGGCAGACGGGACAAAAAGAGCCTTGGGAAAATACAGATAAGGGAGGAAAGGCAGAAGCGTCTGCTCCCTGTGAGTGCTGGAGTGTAATACCCACATTGGTGTGGATCAAGGGTGCAAAAGGGGTGGAGCTAAGGTCCACACTTGAGAATGCGTAATTGAGGGGCGCAAGTGTGGGAGTGTGAGTATTGCGACTGGGCCCTGTTTTGGTTTGCAATCTATCCCGCCTCCATACGTCCTGGTTCCAGAACCAATCATATCTGAGCGTCTGGGGCTGTCATGTCTGTTCGGGCTTTTGTAATTCCACACCGCCCAGCAAAGAGTAGTAGCATGTGGAAAGGATGTTTGTTAGTAAACAGGAGTGATCCGAAGTTATTTCTTGTACCTCCAAGAAGCCACGGCGTCTTTTTGATCTACTAATAGTCGGTGGAGAAGTCTAGTGGCTGACGTTGAGAGGAGAATGCCAACAGTAAATTGTCGGATTTGAAAATATCTCGTTTCTTTGTTAATTACCAACAACTCGATATTCAGTTAAATGTTTTGTCATCTTATCAAATTACTGTGCATGACTGGTCATGCTGAGCCGTGGCTGGCGACAGTTGTTCAGGACTCGTTTGTTCAGATACATGAACTGCAGTACCCAAGTTTGACCACCGGATATTATTCATACATCATGCACCTTTAAACCGCAAGTTCACTTAACAAAACGTTTATTTTGATGGATTTTTAAAATGTGATCATTCACTCTGAGTGTAGCATACCAGCTAAATATGAAAAAACTTTCTAATGATGTTTTCTGCATTGGCCTCCAGTAGCAAATACACAGAGAAACACTCCGATTAGAAAAGCCAGTCAATTGCAAGTCACATTGTAAAATGGACTCACCCATATTGGCTTGCGACAGGGAAGGGTTGTTGGTTTAGCGTAAAGGAAGCATCAGAGAACATCCCAACTAGAAGAAGCTAATCATTAGCATTAGCAACTCCACCACGCAACAGAATTCCTTCAGGCTTGTGTTATTTGTAGAGATAAAACATCAACAATGCAAAACAAACAGAGTAATTAGCAGAGTCACATTGCTATTAGCCAATCAGAGGCTCTCCTCTTCTTTGGATAACTTCTGCTTCCTGAAACAGGAGCGCCAGAGCTTTTTTTCTTCAAAGATATCCACTCACAAGCCATTAATTTACAGTAGAGACCACTGCAAATGTATTTTGTTTTACTGTTATAAAACTTGTTTTTCTCTCAATAGTTGGAGAGTTGTGATGACAGTAGTGTACCTCCTGCTTCTGATATTCACCATGAGATTCTGTCTGCTTACAGCTCAGAGGACTACTATGAGTATGGACATAGTGGGGAAACATATGGTGAGTTGCAGACCTCTGTTTCTTTCGTTAGTAATTTTAGTGTTAATTATCAGTAGAATGTCTTTTCTAGACCTTTCTCAGGCAGCTCTTTCACGTTTCCATAGCATCTGGTTAATCGAGTGCTGTTTCAGACACACGTAGGTCGTCGGTTTAAACGTAATTTGTTTCAAATCAGAACCTCTTCAGCTCATTTAAATAAGCTCAAAATGTAACTTAGTTCATTCTAATTTTAGGTATCAAGCAGGAAATGTATAAATGGTTTACTACACCTGCTGCTAACACCAAGTGGATTTTTTAATGAATCAGAAAATGTACATTTTTGTGATTATTTTTTCTCCATTGTGAAAATGTTTTACATGCCAAACTACTCACTGTAGAGAGGATGTTCATGAGGAAATCCAACAGATCCAAATCATATGGGAAAAGTATTTTATTATCTTATCTGAAACTACTGGAGCTGCATAAGATAAATGATGAAACTACACAGAGATGGGAAAAATAAAAATGGTGTTTTGAGTGTTGTTCATTGTGCAGTTTATTAAATAAATATTTAATAACTAAAACTGTTGAGTTGTAACAAGTAATCTACTTACGAGGAGTTTAACTAAACACGACTCTAAGGCTCCGCAGCACACTAAACCCATTCAGAAAATACTCTTCAGTGAACTCTCCAGGGAATTCATCCTTGTTCACTGCAAGTCTAAGTAGGACTGTTACTCCTCCGGCTATCAAGCACTTCTCAGTGCCAGATGTGCCGCAGGTGCAGCAGGTTGGAGCAATTAGCTCTCATCAGTGACTGAAGATGAACACTGCAGGATGAGAAGAGAGCAACAAAAGAATGCTTCTCAGGCTGAGCTGCAGGTCTTAATGGATGAAAAACAAAGCATCTTTCCATAAAACAAGTTAGACTAAAGGCTAAACAGCCTGCATTTGATATAGTGCCTTCTGGGGTTCTACAACCCCCCAAGTCACACACATTCACACCCTGGTGGTGATGAGCTACAATGCAGCAGACCTGGGGCGCACTGACAGAGGTGAGGCTGCTGAACACTGGCACCAACGTACCTCCAACCACCCCCTTGAAGACAAGACGGACAGTGTCTTGCCCGAGGACACAACAGGGCTCAAACCTGCGACATTTAAAGAATCAATAAATAATATTTTTCCTGATGAATCTTGATATGCTTTTGTGAAGACAACCGGTTATCAGGACTCTTATTTCCTTTGCTTCTTTTCGCTTGGATCTAAACACTTAGGAGCTAGTTTAAAGTGGCCTTTAGAAACAGTTCAGCTCCTAAGCTGGGGTGATGGTGGTAGCCAGGAGGTAACAGTAGGGTCCAGTCATTGTGTCCTTGGGCAAGACACGTCACCCGCCTTGCCTGCTGGTGGTGATTGGAGGGACCAGTGGCACCATTGTTTGGCAGCCTTGTCTTTGTCAGTGCGCCCCAAGGCAGCTGTGGCTACAATATACCTCATCATCTCCAGCGTGTGAATGGTTGAATGACTTGTTGTGTTGTAAAGCACCTTGGGGAGTTCTAGAACTCTGGAAGGCCCCACATAAATACACCAATACTGTTTTGGCTGGAGGCACAGATTGAGACACAGTTGCCTCTGCGAGAACTCTGAATTAGACGGCGATGCTGAACCCAATGTTGGGCAGATACAGCAAGTTAAAGGTTATGTAGCAAATTTGGAAAACAAATTAGCTTAAAACATTTTTTTCATGCCTCTTAGCAACGTGCTAACATAGTCTAGCTATAAAGATGTTGTGGAGATTGAAAAACACATGAAAAAAATCAATGAAGTAGTTATCTCTGATTTGTCTAAAAACCTCAGCCAATCATTGCTTTTCGGACTGAAAGCAATGATTTTGTCCGTCTCGCCGAAACTCAGCATATGCGGATTTCCCCGTGACCTACATTTTGTGCACGGTCTCATTTTTCAGCAGAACACACAACCGAAAGTGAGACGACAGGCGTGAACCGGAAGTGAAAGGTTCTGCGCTGAACTATGGCAGAAAAGGGGAAACAGCTGGCTTCTACTACTTCAACTTTTGAAAAAAGAGTCCCTGAAAGAAAAACACCGTTTGCACTAGTGGACAACAAAAAAAAAAAAAAAAACATTTGGACGCAGAAAGAGGAGTAACCAGGGTGAATATTGGCGTCGCGTTTCAACGATGGCGACATTTACGGGAGACACATGGCCTGAAAACAGGTGCTATGGTTGCTATTTTTCTTCTGGACAGGTAATTCTTGCTTCATATTACAAAATATTTGCATCATAAAGGCATTGTTTCATTATTTTACTTGGGTTCTAAAGATTGAACTGGATTCTAGCTTAGTTTAATAGTTAAGCATGGCTATCTGCACCTTTCTTTGTTAGCACAAATAGCACGTTATGCTAATGCTACGTAAACACCGATCGTAAAGACTTTATGGTAAAAAATAATTGTTGACATTCACGTTGGGATCACCTTAGTCATTCATGTAATTTCCCTGCTAATGTTATCACTTTTATTTTGTTTGTTTGTTTTAGTTGCGAATACATGCATCAGCTTCAACTCCACTGATTCATGGTATGAAAAAACCACCAGCCCCAGCGGTTTCCTCCTCTGGACTGTTGCTGTGATTTTTGAAGAGCTTTTCCAGTTCGAACAGCTACTCCAGGCTCCGGTATATAGTCTGTATCAGACCCTGCGAGGCTCTCGGCATGGAAACTCTAATGTTGAAACAAGAATAAAACAGAGAACCCATTTCAGTAAAGAACAAGAGGCCACAACAATATTTGACAGACAAAACAAGCAGTAAGCAGTAGCTTACTAGCAGGCTACCATACTTTTTATTACTCTTTGTACTGAAAATAATCAATAAATTAACATTTTAAAACATACTTCATTACCATATGAATAAGTTAAAACAAGTTATTAAAGTTAGATGTTTATATTGTTTATTGTTCACCTACCAGTGACTCCGCCGTATTGATTAACGTGAACAGCGACCGTGTACTGCTTTGTGTTGTTCACCGTGGCAGAACGCGTTCACATACCCGGAGGGGCGCGGCCTAATGATTATACCCGATGGGAAGGGTGAGAGTTCTGGGACCGTTGGTGTAAGCTAGCTAGTTTGTTTGGAAAAAGCGTTACAGCACCTCCACAGCTTGGCCAGCTTGGCTATAAATGGGAGTAATTTATAAAAACTCAACTTTTAACCTAGATATTGTCACATTGGGTGGAGCTGACCTCTCCATGAGTTTTCCTGTTTGCAGGTGGGCGCGCCCGGAGAGCAGCTGCTGCGACCTCTCTCATCAGCTCGCAGGGGATTTAAGGAGCGGTGTGACAACTCACCAGCGCCGGATGATTACTCACATTGGGTAGTATACACCCGCTCTAGACCTGTTTCCAGTTTTTTTTTTCTGCATCCTGTTCTGCCTGTTAAAACCTCGTCATCACCTGTCCCGTTCTCCCGCCCAGGTACTCTCATCATCTGCCTGTTACCAGCTCGTCAACCCGCACTCTCACCTGCTACTACAAGGAGCCTCCGGATCTCCTGTCCACCCGCCACGCCGCTTCTCCCTCGGGCCGTCTGCTCTCCTGCGCTCACCTGTCCGCTCAGCTCCTGGAACTGGTGCTCAGCTCCCAGCCTCCTCTCAGCGCTCCACTACCTTACTGGAATCCTTAAACCTCCATTCTCATAACACCTTCCCCGTCTGCTTTACATTACTCATTCTTGTTCTCTGTCTCAGAACGCTGCCAGAACCGCCCTCCTCCGACGTCTCCCCAGCCTCATCAAGCTTAATAAATAATATATTATTTTCACTCACTTTTGTCTCTTCGTGATTCTGCATGTCGTGGGTCAAAAGACTCGATCCTAACATGACAGATATGGGACAATGTGGCAGGTATTTTATTGGCAACTGTTAATAATTGACCACTGAACTGTGTTTTCATGAGTGGAAACGTCAGTTCTTTCTCGTATGACTTTAATACGACTTTTGTTCTGGTCTGTTGTCACAAATGTGATCTGAGAGCCATCATGGTGTAACCTCTGAGTCACAGTTCATCACTGCATTTTCAGTAGAATCGAACAATAATTCAGTGGTAAATGTTGATTTGAATACGTTGGTGTTTATTGTAAAAAAGTCCACAAAATATGCAATACGTGTTTCAGGACATCCTGTCACACTGCTGAGAAGTAAGCAGTTAAGAAAAAGAGGTAGTGAGTTTTAGGACAGAGATCATGAAGGTATTCATACAATCTGCACTGTGTAGCTTACTGTGCTGCTGTACTGAAGAAGGTTGATGCATATTTAATGTTGTTTACTTGACCTTTTTGTGAACTTGAGTTCAATTCAAGGTGTGTGAAGTTTAAAGTATCTCAACAGTCCTGTGCTGACACTTTATCTCTCCAATTGGAGAAATGTTGTTTATAATACAGAGTAAAAGCAAAACCATGTTTGACTTAAACAGTACTCTCAATGTCATTGGTGTGTTTGCCAGAAGGATTATAGAAAATGAAATGGGTCAAAGCAAACATCTCTGGTGGTATTTATGTGGTATTCCTTTATATTAGAAAAAACTTAATAAAAAACACCAACAAGACCTGACAAATTTTCTCCATGAATTTTGGGTCAGTTCAAACATTGCTTGCAGGATTAAAGGTCTCTTCCTGTTGGTAACCAGTGATCGTAATGGACTATTTACAACTATTTACTACAACAACAGTTTGATTTTTCTTGATCTCAATTTGGTGACAGTTTTAAAATGTAGTTTTAATTTATTTAGATCTAATGTTCCATGCTTTACGAGAAAATGATAAAGTTTCAAAACAGTAGTTGGTGCAATGAAGTAACCTATCTAGAAATGCTTAGATCCAAAGGTCCATTAGACGTATGAAATTCTGGGCAGATCAGACAATGCCTTTGAGATTTAAAGCCACTTTCTGTTTGGCAACATTTCTTCAAAATGGCCACCATTCTCCTGCATTATAATGTCTGTGATTTCTAACCAAGTTGGAGTCCTGTACTTTAAAACTCATTGGTAGCCATTGAGTAAATATGCTGCATACAAAAGGTCAATTTTTGGATAAAAACGACAAATTTCTTGTTGGTTTTAGACAATGGCTCCAAGATACTTTTAATTGTACATATCAGTTCTAATTGTGGACCAAGTTTCATTGGTCTCAATAAAACAAGTCTATGGGGCTATTCTTAAAAGGAACTCTTGCTATGAGGACCTGTATGTCCTAATACGTCACAATTTTTCTGTTGTACCAAACTATGTTGTTAGAAACACACAAAATATTACTGTTCATTTAGAAATCTATAATATTTAGTAAATTTTTTGACATACATAGGACACCATGTTTTCCGAGCACAGTGCACTCTGGGGGCGATGACGTACATTGGTTGCACTTGGAAGAATAGCTATTGACGCTAGTGTTTGTTTACGCGCTCATCGTATTAATAATTAACTAAAATGCCGCATTGTGCTGCTTTTGGATGCAATTTCCAGTCAGACGGCAACAAAAGGAGTGATGTGAGTTTACACAGCTTTCCCACTGGCAAGAAGAGGAGAAAGCAGTGGGAAGATGCCTGTGGACAGACACAACTTCCCAAAGAACCGCGGCTGTGTTCCCAACATTTTTCCCCTGGTGCGTTTGAGGCTAATAGTCGACCACGACTACTTAAAGAGCTCACCAGAGTGGCTGGGTTTAAGAGAAGGCAGAAACTAAATGCTTTACGGACCATTTTCCCACACAAGGAGCCTAAACGCCCTCGGAGTGACAAGAGACGCTGGACGCTCTCCTGAGCCGAAAACCCGCTCTTGCAGCTGCCGCTTCGGTCACATTCAGCGAACCATTGGACACGCAACTTGTCACGGATGAAGCTGAACATTCACCTCTCCCGTCAGTAAAACTAGCAGTAAGTGTAGCAACACAGTGTTCTCCACATATATAATGTCTGCAAAAATGATTAAAGTGGTTTCACTGAATATCCTAATCATCTATAAAGCGCACGACAGCTCTGGATGCTAATATTCTCCAAAATTATTCATAATTGAATAAGTTTGATCACACAATAGTTTACCGTTAACTTCTTCCGACAAAAATGTGAGCTCTTGACAACAAACACTCTCCCTCTCTGTTACCAATGAGATACATTTGCCGCAAACGCACCACCGGTTTTGTCCTACACTCGCTTCATCCCGCCCTTCTTGCTCTTCATTTTGATGCTCGTTTTGTGAAACATAGTCAGTGATGTCCTCATTTACGTTTCACGCTGGTTCAAATTGAAAAGGCTGAACAGATGACATGTTGATGTCGCTGAACAGTCACTAGAGGGTCCCAAAGCCAGCTGGTGCAACCGAGGTACAACCATATGACGTCACTACCCAGAGTGCATTGCGACGCTAACAACAATGGTGACCAACGAGTGAAACTGTTTTTACAAATTTTATACAAATGAAGGCATTAAGGTTTTTTACACCACTTTAATATAACTGATACTAATATTTTTCTTTTAAGAACCACACAGTTTTGTAACCTGGGTTCCTTTTAAGGAGGTGCTGTAAAGACATTAACCCACACATCTAAACTAGCTTTTCCAGATATGTCCAGGCCTCAACTACTAATGGTCATGCCAAATTTAAAGTAAAGCAAACAGGATTTGTTGTACTTTTATTGTAATGGCATGTCCTTGCAAATTGCCTCGCTGCCGAGACTATGCCCACCAATAGGAAGTCTATATTTTCTCTCCAAGTAAGGTCAGCTTGTTGATCACCAAGTTCGGAGTTGATATAGTCAATCAGGCCAAAGAAAATTCACGAGTAAAACAATATTTCCTGTAAGTACGTAACTATAGCAATGGAGGAAAGTTTTCATGTAGTATAATTGAGGACAAGACTGATAATACCGTTAAAGTTTTGTTGCATTTTCAACTTTTTTTATGTGTATGTAACAGTTGTTTTGAATTTTATGAGAAATACCTCTGTAGATTTGAAGTTTCAAACACAGCAATGTGTTGATGAAACCTCAAGCTTCACAACCACCTCAAGTGGTTTTGGTCATGTTTTCAAAATGAATAAGTAATTATAGACAGACAGAGACTTGTCTGTACCACTGAATTCCTTCCACTTAGACATCAACAAAGGTAGTTTTTGACGTTCAAATGCTTGATGCATATTTCTTTATGGGTTTAAACAAAATAAATCATATTATTACAAATTGTCAAACGTATAGCCTCGCAATTTGTTCAATAAACAAAAATGTTCTGACAACATGGGCATGGACAATCTGGCAAATTTTCAACAAGGGAAAAAAGTATATATATATATATATATATATATATATATATATATATATATATATATATATATATATATATATATATTCCTAATTTTTAATTGTGCATTTTGAAGGTTGTTTGCACTCAGTTTTATTTCCCTACAGATACTAAAATTTACATTCATACTTTTTCTCTAGTTGCTCCGACAGTCACAACAAAAGTACATTTTATTCCACCTCAGTTGAGACAGAAAAAAATATCTGATTTTTATTACCAATACTTTTTCTAATGACTTTTTCCAACAGTTTGGTCAAAAACAAACAAACAAACAAAAAGAAATCCTGTAACTTTTCTGACCCCACAAGTAGAAGAACTAAACACCTTCGTCTAATTAGAATGATGCCTACCTTCATTCATGAGATAAAAACAACAATAAAGAAAGTAATCATGCTGTGTGGGTCACAGAAAAGAAGGCAACAGTTTCAAAGAAACAGATAAACAGTGTTGAAGTGCCTTCTTGTTCTCAAAACACAAGGTTACCTTGGTGTGTTTCTTCAAAGTGACTCTCTGTGGTTGGGTGACAGGTTTAATTAAGGGGTATTGGCTATGTGCTGCCAACAGAGAACCTCTACAAAGGAAAAAAAGAACTCTTTGTAAGCCTCAGCACTGGAGAAGTCTCAGTGCTGGCTGAAGATCAAACAAAAGGTGCCATCAATACTGGCACTTTCACATTGACAGTAGTAGGGCTGATTCGAGCTAATGCTAATTCTGACCTTTTTGCTGGCAGTCACTTAATGGGTCCTTGTCAAATTTTTGATCCTGTCATTGGAAAGCTGAATCTGAGATGAATTCCTCCAGGCAAAAATAAAGGTTCTTGGTGTGTCACCTTGCTTTCTCAAACCAGTAAGAGCAACACCTCTGCCAAACAATTGACTCTGTACCACATTTTTACTGGAGTTTTCATCAAATATGAAAAAAATCGTATTTAATGTGTCAAAGAAGTGTTCTGAGTGGAATGACATAAGTACAACCTTGTGATCTCTGCCTATTTTTGTCTTCTCTTTTCTTTTATTCAGGCCAGGAAGAGTGGGCAAACAATCGTGGCAAGGCTCAGTCAGCACGAACAAACAAGGGGGTGTACAGAGAGCAGCCATACTCCAGATATTGAACTGTTTATACAAGTCCCACCTGAATCCTTATGGCTGTTTCAACCCAAGTAATGGATTTTTTATGGACACTCCCACCTTTTTAAAATTGAAAACTAAACCGCAAACCAGTTCAAGTACAACACCAAACCACCCAAAACTGTTTTTCAAAAATGGACCTCCGTTGAGTATAAAAACATAGTCTTACTGGATAAAATACGTAAGTATTTTAGGTAAGCTACCCTCCTCCAATGAGAATTAATCGGATAAACCCAAGAAAGACTTTGTAGTACATTAAGTTCCTCTCTCAGCTATGTAATTGTGAACAATGACATTGTATCGCACAATTTTATTTAGAGAGCCACTTTAGGCTGGTGGATGCAATGTTTCTACACAGCTGCCGGTGCAACTTAATTCATGACCCTGTAGACCTCTGACATGTAGTAGCTTAGTCCTAGCAAAGTGCAGTAATGTAGATTTTTCTTTTCCCCTGAACAGTTAATTGGTGAAATTTGTGTCCCTTGTAAATGAAATATTTGCAAGCTCAATAAGAAAAAAGTCATACTCTAGTCTCTACGCATTGTATTGCTGTTTCCTCCTTTTTTGTAAAGTAATAGTCAATAAATGTTAAAGGGCTTATAAAAGCATGGTGTATAACAGTGGATAATGCTGGTTGTTTTATTCTAAAAAGCCTGTATAGTTGTGTCCCTAAACGATGTCCCCAAACATCTTTAAATAGTTGCACATACCTTATGTATACTGAACAACCAGAGCTGAAGAACAGTTTGGGAGCTTTTTGATGTCTGTACATTTTTAGATAGGTACAATGAGGATTGATGACATTTTCATTTAAATAGAAACCTTGCTACATTTTTTTACTATTGGACATTTTTCAGATTTGTTGAGGTGGGATTCTGTGAAGTTTTTGAACAAGTACGGTTGTTTAAAGACGGTTGTTTATTTCAAAACAATGTCAAGTCTCAGTGAGGTTATGTGTAAAAAAAGGTGAAACAAAAACATAAAGAATTCTAAACTCAAAGAGCCCTCACCAGCTTTTGCAAACACTAGGTGTGTTTCCACTATCGGAATTTCAATGTAATTTTACCAGAACTTTACAGCTTTAGCATGTCCCCAAAAGGACAATTTCCCAGGCCTTTGGTCAAATAAGGCTGATTGTAACTCTGTAGGAAATGACATTGGCAGATGTCGCCCAAAACAACCTTCATTAATAAAATTGGAAGTGAAGTGGAACGGAAGGAAAACAATATAAAATCTTTGTTACTAAATTCCCGACACAGAAAATTGCGATGGAAATACCTAACAACATAATTCACGATGGTTTGTTGTCTCACCGAGCACTGTAAAAAACGCTTCTTCTAATCATTGAATGCTACGTTTTACAACACACAGCCACTCTCCCGGTCTCCCTACTCTATAGCGTATTCTACAGTAGCTAAAAATAGATTGTGACATCACAATGCGTTGTGAGATATAGCCCTAGACAAGCGAGCGTGTATTTTGTATGGGTGCCTATGGGTCTGAGTCACTCCACTCGTCTACAACGGTTTAAATGGTGTAAACAAAGTTCAGCTGAACGTCTTGGCCAAACGGCATCTAATCATTGACGAAAACAGTGTTTCACCAGAGGTGGGTGGTATGTAAAAAGTAGTGACACCAATAATAACCTAAGAGTAAAAAAAGAAGTTAGAGATAACGTTACTTCAGCACTGTGAGTAATGAGTAATTGTTTGAGCATAAAAGTTAGAACATGGTGTCTGTTGGGGTGTTTTTATCAAAGTCCAAGTGCTCTGCCTGTGTATTTTCAGTTGGTAAGTGCGATTAGTTTGTCTAGCATTAGCACCCAGCAGTAGTTGCAGAGCAATGTCAACTGTAGAATATACTATATTTACGGCATATTTAGACAGAATAAAACTTTTAATTTTACTGATGTCCATGGATGCTTTTAGGCACTGATCAGTGATGTCACTCACTGGTTGAAGCAGTGGCGATATGCATCTTAGCAAAGTCTTGAAAGGGTTAAGTTTGTATGGAGACACGACGTAAAAGGACAGAGCCTTCATATACTGGTCAAATTTGCCCCTCCCAGAAATTTCCTAAAGTGGAAACACGGCTATAGCTTCATAAACCTTTACAAAGCTTTTATGAAACAGAAATAGTCACACTAGTTTAGAAGTGCCACAATTAGCAAGCTTTGTCTCTATTTTCCACTACAACTAACCTAGTTTATCATATGAATACCTCTTATTTCAAAATTTACAGCTAAGTCAAGGTTTATGCATGAACCACTGTAAAATTCTGAACTGAAGTTTTTGAAAGAAAGCATTTTTGCAACTAGCTGTTAGCTCCTCAATCTGGTTGCATATGGAGCTAGGATCGGGACAATATCACATGTAACCTGTACCATATGACAAAAACTCGAATTCCATGCGACAAACTGAAAGTCACTCGCTCCAAAACGTGAATTACGTGCTACAAAACTAAAGTTACAGTTACAAAACTTTGTACTAATTACATGCAATATTGTCCCAATCCTAGCTCCATAGTGGAAATGTAATGCACACACATTCACAGAAGCGCGCTTCAACAGGTCTGAGACAGTTTAGTCCTTTAGGATGAACAATTCCATTTAAGGTCTTGAATTGTTTGTTCAGATTTGTTCAACTTGCAGCTTATGTAAGCCCTTTAATATCTTCTTCTTTGTTGATGCTGAATAAAAATTTTGAATAAATACAATTCAAAAGCTTGTTTAAAACTACTTCCTTCATTTGAAGTGTTTGGCGAACACACAGAAGCCTATAAGGAACTAAACAGGAATAAATCATATCTTGGTAACATGAAAATCAATTTAGGGAATTTAGAGATAATGATGTTGCCATTTTTGAAAGTCCTTTGGTTGGTACAACGTGAAATGAAGTGTTGATTGCATAAACGATCATCATTAAGCACAAAATAACTTTTAAAGCATTCGCTTGTATATGACAGCGTGTGGCACTGCAGTTAAAGCCTCCCTGGCCCTGACTCCAGGGGCCGTGTAGAGTGAGGCGCAGAGGTCAGGTGGCGTTGAGTGTCTAAAACGAGCAGAGGGAGGATTGGGGGTGAGTTTCTCTCTCTTTCTCTCCCTTTCTGGTTTTACTGTTCCTGTTCTCCTTCACGTGACCCTCTCCTGGTTGCTTAAAGAGCCTGCCTTTCCCCCGTCCATTTAATCGAACTCAAGCTGACCTCCACAGAGAGAGGACGGCTGTTTAAAAAGACCTCCGTCCCACAAGGTAAACAACATGACCTAGTGCAACCTTGCCCCTAATAATAACTCATAAACATTTTCTAAACTCAGACTTTTCTGTTTCACTTCAGTTCATAATCCGGTCATGAACGTAGGAATAATTAGTTGTTAAAATCTGTAAATAATAATATTAGTAGTGATTATTGTGAATAACTTTATTCTTAGGCATTTAATAGAACACCACTCACTATGATAATTGAAATTGTAAAATCCACTGTCTTTGTTAGTAATATTAGCCACAAATAATGTTGAAACATTACTGCTCATAGCGTTGTTTATGGGTTTCTTTTAGGCTGAGGCCACATGTACACCGCGCTGTTCCTCCATCGCCATCACAAGCTCTAACGGTAAGTTTGACTCATTACATGTCATCTGTTTATGTTGGTGTACAAGTTAGCAGAGCGTTAGATGTAAGTTAATAAAACTAATAAATTAATTAACCCCTTTTGTCTCTGCAGAAAAAACCCTGTTGTTTTGGGAAACTGTTTTTATGTAAATGCGTTCTGCATATCAGATCAAAAGCCTTCAAATGCACAAGATAAAGTATTCTGCAGGGGACACAACATTATCAGGACTTATCAAATATTAATGTGACTTTGAGACAATGTGGTGTTCTCATAATGGATGTTTAAAGATGAAAATGTTTTTCTGAGCTTTTAGATGTCCTTTGGAATATCCCCCCAGACATTTGAAACGTCAAATCCCCTGCCTTACTTTCCACAGTCTCATCAGGATTCTGGACATTCTGCCCCCTTCCTGTACTTATAACAAAAACAGGGAGTCAAATGAATATGAAACGGTTTGAACGATGTAATATATGACTGTTTACTCTGTTTTTAGGCAGAATTAACAACACAGTCATCACAGAAGATCTGCCCCATCCAAGCAGTGGCCTCTGACATTTTCAGTCTGTTTTAAGATGAATTGTTTGGGGAGAAAAGATGGAGTGACATGAATGGAGATGCAGAAAGGGGAGGTGTGGAGGTACCTTCACCTTCAGTGCTTCGCCACTTTAACTTCTTCCTAAAAGCATGACAGGTTATATTTTTTCCATGAACTGTCCATCTCTGGAAATGTCTGATTTTTAATGTTATACATAAACTATTCATTACTTAGAAAAATGAATGAATAAACATGTATCATGTAAAAACATTTGCCCTTTTTTCAGTTTTAGTATCTTAATCAGTCCGTTTAGACTTTACCGGGCCCCAATTCATTTCAATCTAACAACAAAGGAAATTTAAGGCTGGGATTAACTGACAACACCCGGTCGAACTAGCTACAAGCTAACCTGAAGCTAACGCAGAGGTGGGAGCTAAGCTAATGGAGGTAGCAACCTAGCTACAACTGGAGTTAACTGAGCACAACACCAGAGCTTCTGAGTCAGAGATACGCCGGGCTGACCGCTGGGTAAAACCGGGTGGAACACAGAGGTCTCCGAGACCTCCACAAGCCATCAGCCCGCGCAGCAGACAAGCGCCGCTGCGATCTGAGATGGGCAGAGCTGCCGCTGGGGAGAACCGGGTGGAAAGGTTTCCATCCCAGAGCTCCACAAGCCGATAGTGGGAACCCAGCTCCACCAACATGTTATATTTCAACCCATTTTCTAAAGTGCAGCATTATGTTAAATGCACTGGGCTTTACCCTATTACATTTACATTTCATGGTTAAACAGTACATGTTAAAATCTAAGCTCAGCTCGGCAGTGACCTGAAATACATAAATATAATTTTACTTACCAAAAAAAATGAAGTGGAGACTCCTTGGACGCTCTATTAGTGCAATTAATGCCACAGCAAGTCATTTTGTCCAACAATTGCACAAATAATATCCAAAAAAGAATACACAAACGCTACAACTAATGGTCTAAGTTGAGAGACTGAAAATGACCGAACAGTTTTCAGGCGAGGCCGAGGCTCAGACTGAGGCCTTTCCCCGGAGCTAGTGCTGCGGTCACGTGGGTCTGATGCTCATTAATTATTTATTACACGTCCCGCAGCCACGCCGGTAACCATCATGTCCTCATCTATCCAGCCCTTCGGGTTCGTCTTGATGATCACGCCGGCGGGAAACTTTTCTTTGGGTAAAGTTTTCCGCTTGAAGATGACCATCGGCGGCAGCTTCTGGCCATCAGCCTGGCAGGCGAGCACAACGGTGAAGCAGGACTTCTCGTGGCCGGTCGTCCGCACAGACACCGTGCTGGTCCCCATTTTCTCTACGGTCCGGTTCACCGGGATGTTGAAGGTAAGCGGGACCTCGTCCATGTTGGTGATGTGCTGGGTCTGGATGTTTTTGTCTGCCATCTTCTTAGTGCAATAGGAGCGGAACAACTCTAGCTTCTCAGCGTAGTCGGCAGGTAGCTGCTGCAAGACGGTAGTTCAGGTGCGGATAGAAAGCGCTCACCTCCGCATGAAGCGAAAACACCAGGCAGGGCCTCCTATGAAGTCTGCAATGTCCATCTCTCGTGCTAATGCTGCAGCTTTGAGACTAATGGAGACGGTGGAGACGCTTCTGCTTGCCGCTCACTGCTCTGCGACCCACTGCTCAACTCGGTCTTCAAGCAGCGGCCATCTTGCCTTGTTTCCTCTGAAGCCACGCTGTGTTTTCTTCACCTGCAGCAACTGCTCTTCCAGCTTTCTCCACTTGCAGACCATCGACTCGTTAATCTTGTATTCTCTCGCTGCTGCTTTGTTTCCATGCTCAACGGTGTGAGCGATGGCTCCAAACATATTACCTGTTGTGTTTGAATCAGAAGAAAAATTGTCATCCAGGTCTTTAAGATTTATGATATAGTAAATAATGATAATAATAATAATAATGACAATAATAATGCCTTTTATTTAAAGCATATTTCAGGAAACTCAAGGTCATTGTACATCAAAATAATAAATTTAAGTTAAAAGTTAAAAACAGTCAAAAACAAATTACTCAAAAATACAAAAACAGGGAAACCATTGAATGAGCTTCATGGATTAATATAACTTAGTATTGTCAGCATAACAGTTGAGCTTTATTCTGTGCAATTAAATAATTTGACCCAATAGAAGCATATACCTAGTAAAAAGTAAGGAGCCAAGTAGTGAACCCTGAGGTACTCCATGGCTAACTCTGGTGCAAGAGGAAGATGTGTAATTAACATAAACAGGAATCTCATTAGATGCATAATACTTAAACCAAGATGGTGCCTAATAAATACTATTAGAAGAGCATTAGTAAGCTTCACAAAAGCTATTTCTGTGCTATGGCGAGCTGTAAATCTTGACTGAAACTGATTATTTCTGTTTAATTACTCCGTCAGTGGCTTTGATACTTCTCTGTCAAGTGTGATTGATCCCCAGATCACATCAGACCAAAGGTTTGTGATACATTATTTGATCTTATCAGTTGTCGGGCTGTCGAGTGATTGATCAAATTGGGTAGATCAGTAGACACGAACAAATAGTGAAGGTAAACTCACATCTTATATCCTGAGAGAGGTTGGGTCATAGTCAAAGGCCATGTTTAAGGTGTCTATTTTCAGGGCAGCTTTAATGGACTGTCGGCCTGAAGGTCATTAATGACAGAGAAGGAGCCATTTATGGACACCGGTGATGGAAGCCGTAAAACTGACAAAGGGGCCCCTGTTGTAAATTTGTCTGGTTCTGCCACATTATGTTGCTCCTTAGTTTCATTTTCTCCTTCAAACACACCTGAACTCCAGCAGTCAGCATATTTCCACAAACTGTGTCTGCCTCCATAAAACCAGCTCTGCTCCTCAGAACATTTGCTAGATTGTCTGAGTTTTCGACCAGCTCTTCAGAGTTCGTCCGTTTTAATCCGTTTTAATGATTCTTGATTCCCTCCCTTCACGAATCTTTGACCGAGCCTTCTGCCTCATTCTCCTCAGACTTCTGCATTCAGGTTCCTCTTTGCCTCTACTCTGGCATTTAATAAATACAATCTAACCTGATTTTGTCTCTTTGCGCAATGATTGGGTCCAGTTCATTACAGGCCATTGGGGTTTGGTCCCCAGAGGACACCGGACAAGCTGACAAGATACCTCAAACTTACTGAATGGTCAGAGGGAAATTCTTTTATAGATTCTCTTGTGTTACGTAGAGTAGTAACAGTTTGTTCTCTACCATCACTTTGTTTGCTGATGGTTTTGGCTTCGCTACTTCCTTTGTTAGAGCAGCCACAGGTGTTATTGTGGTTTCTTCTTTTGCCACTGTTCATTTGTGGGCAATAGAGGACAACAAAGACACCACAATAACACCTGTGGATGCTCTGATGAAGGCAACAGTCAGCAAACATGTTCGGTCAGAAAACAAACTTTTGCTACTCTAATTTATAAGAATCGAAGGAATTGAAAAGGAAGACAGGTTGACTGAAGCAAAGATGGTCAGAAGGAAAACGTGGGCGTTGGGAAAATTGGGATAAGTCATGAAGAAGAACTCTCATTTGGCTTTGAAGAAGTTCCTATAAGCATTTGA